TTAGCCTCCTCAATTGATCTGTGCAAATATTCTGTTTTGCTGAAGAAAATACCTCCTCACACCTTCAAATAAGTACTTTGTTGACAAATAAATGTGTTCTGACACTCCAACAACCATTTATATATCCATCTTTATAAAGCTATTATAAGCAATACACACAAAGCAATAAAAATCTGCACCTTCAAAAAAATAAAATATAAATAAAATTGGAGATGAACTTAATGCATGAAGAATAACATATAAACTTGGATGTGATGATGTAATCTGATACAAAATTTTAGCTTTAATATATTACCAGCAAATCAACTATATGACAAAAATCTAGTAGCTTCCCTTCTGAAAAACAAAGATGATTGTTATACTATTCGAATCTCAAATAAAAAAGTACAGTGATGATATATCCTATTCAATTGTTTGGGACATGCTATACAATTACAGTCCTTTAAGTCTAAGCCTCAGAGGTATATACACATTAAGTTTATAGGAAATTTTAAGACACACTTCTCTTTATTCAAAACTCAGATTTTATTAGGCGGAGAGCACATGTTAAGAGGGAGAAGAAAGTTTTCTTCCCATAATAATGGGAAAACTGCTCAGTTCATAGGCCAACTAAATGTGAATTTTGAATCCACACATTCAAATGTGCAATTCACATAAATTAAAGACAAAAATATAAAATCAGAAACTGTAAAATGTAGAAAATGTAAGAAAATGATTTTCTGAAGTAGGAGTTAAGACTTCTGTTCAGCAAAGAAAATACTTGACAAAATCAACATGAGGACAGAAAGTCAAGAGAAAGTATTTTGATTCCCCACACATGACAAGGAAATTCCCCAAAAAAGAAAAAAGAAGGTATCAAAAAAGGAATGTTTGAAACAAATATGAGCAACTGATATCAACAGATAATTCTGTGCATACACAGAAAAAGGAAAAGAGAATGCATAAAAAAGAAGATAAATGGAGGGATAAATATAGAAAAATAAGGTGAGCCATTCAATTTCACTGTGAGTCAATAAAATTCATTACATTAGAAAAGTCTAGATGGTTGGATATGAGAAATAGAAATACTGCCCACTAGTAGTGGTAAGGTGGATGCTGAATATAAGATGTTAACTGCATACACACTCTGTACACCAGAAAACATACTCCTGAGCATCTGTGGCATTTTCTCAAATCTGCTTCTTGGGCAGTAAGAAGAAAATGTTCTGTGTTGCACTCATCACTGGCAGAACACAAGAAGCCTGCTTTCCAATTAACTGTGGAAAGGCAAAGAAAATGTCATGGAGAAAAACAATGGAGAGGAGTTACATACATTCAGCAATCCAAACAAATCAGGAGTTATGTACATTCAGCAACGCAAATAAATCTGGTAAATACTGAATGAATTAAGGGAAAGATAAGATGAGCTCCCTAACATCTCCCACTTCGGCACACAAAAAATATATGTGCATGAGGCTGGGTGTATTTCAGTGGTAGAGCGCATGTATAGTGCTCATTTGCCTCTGGGATCTACAGCTACCAAGAAAAGGTAGACATAAAGCTTTGGTGTATAATCTCGTAGTGATGAGCAGAGGCATGGCAGTGGAAGGAGTGGAAGGAAGATGTTCCTGCAACAGAGTTGCCAAGCAGAACACTACCGATATTTTGGACCAGTATTTGTATGTAGTGAGGGCTGGCTTGTGTTGTGTGACATTTATGAGTACCCTTTCCTAACTACAAGATGCCAAAAAAATCTTGAATGTGCTCTATATCATGATATAACAAAGTATTTCAGAAACATCCACATATTTTATGAAGTATGGAATCAACAGTGGCTAAAACCACTAGTGTAAAATGTGCAGAAGACACATAGCTCCTAAATGACAAGGTACCCAGAAAGAGCACAAACAAAAACCCTCAGAGCTGCCATCTCTCTGGCTTTGCACCCCAAACCCAAGCTTAGTGTCCTACCTAAATATTTCCAGTCTATACTTGCATACTCTCTCTTCTTGTCCTGTCCACCTAGGCTGCCCTTCTGCTGTGGCTGGAGTGAAAACCTAGAAGAAGCTCCATGGCTTAGTGCACTATAATAACACACACTGGGAGGTGTAGAGGCCAGACTAAGGGTTACTTGAACTGAAGCTCTGTGTTTTATTTCAGCTGTGCCCTTCAGATTAGGCCATTCCTATGGTTTTCTCCAGGATATCAACATGGAAGGGCTGTTTCTCAGAGTGCAGAGAAAGCAGGAGGTACTCAGGGGGATTTCAGGGATTGCAATCTCCTGCCATTTATGGAACCCACAACAAAATCTCATGGCCATATCTTTCCCCAGAGAGACATTAGTTGCTGGAAAGGTAAAATTACTCCAGGTCTTGAAGAAGACAATGCTGAACAGAATGTCTTTTGCTCATTAAGGGCAAATAGGCACTGGGAGGACAAAAGGGCATTCCAGAATAGAAAACCAGTTGTTTGCCCTAAGTTTAAGTTAGAAGGGTTCCAAAATGAGCATAAATTAGAAATAGCAATGGACTTGTTTTCTCTATAGCACTGTACACGCTTTGTATATTGTGGTCAAACTGCTCATCTTGTGTCATTCTATCCTATCCTCTTGTTCTAGTGATGCAAGCTAGACAGTATAAACAGATGGGTAACTTCTCTAATTCAAAAAGAGTGTAGTATTCCCTTATCCAAGGATTACTCATAATGTTCACCTTGTTTAGTTTCTCTGGAGATCCTGATTAATACAGCACTCAACCCAGCAAATGATCTTATGAGTTTCATGTTCCACAGACCAGCACTTTACTAAGAATTGAAGGAAAGAGTCTAGACATGTGCCTTGAGTTAGGCGCAGTATCTTGATCAAACCAAAGCAAGCCGAAAGTAAAATGTACTGAAAACTCACTGATTATATCTAATCTAGCAAACACCACTGCTAACCCTTTACTCCTTAAAACTGCTCAACAGTTACACTGACATGTAGTTGGGCAAATTTAAGTAACACACAGTATATTTCATAATAAAATGATAAATACAGTATTTTACATACTTTATTGAATATAGTGCATCATAAATGCACTGGCTGTTTTCACTTTGTGTCTTTTTGCTGACATTACAGTGACCACTGCTGCTGCTGAGCATCATGAGCAAGTATTGTACCACATATCTCTAGTGTACAGAGTAAAATTCTAAATTGAAATTTTCCACTAAATCCATAACACATTTGCTTTTATTGTATACTACTGGAGTTTGAACTAAGGTCACTGTGCATTTCACACAGGTTACATTAGTGTGGAGAAACCACAGGATATTTATTTTATCTTGATATAGGGCCTCGTACAGTTAACCAGGATGGATGTGAAGCAGAAACATTTTTGTCTTAGTATGCCATGTGGCAGGGATTAGATTACACACCATCATGCCTCACTGAAGTTTAATTTACCCAAGTACTGGGATCCTAGTAAATGGTAGTGACTGAAGAATTTCCATTCTAGCCAGGCATGGTGGCCCATACCTGTCATCCCAGCCCACTTGGAGAATGAAAAAGAATTCAAAGTTCACCCCTACCCAGTACAACCTACTCAAACCTGGTTTCAAATTTTAATTAAAAAGTTAAAATGGTGTAGGATGTAGCTCAAAGATCCTGAGTTTAATCCCTTATGACAAAAAAGTCAACCACACCTTGCAATCTTTTCTATCCTGGAAAAGTCTTTCCCATTACTTTAATAATCAAGTCCACTAAAATTTTTAACCCACAACCAATCCAGACAGTTCCCTAATTGCCAAGTTTTCCTCAAAATGTTAAGGTGTACTAAATCACTAACGGAAGCCATATTTTTCAAATTTTTACTAAGTTCCTCTCCTTCCTTCAGGCCTGTGATTTTTGACCCACTCTCAGACCAGGCTCAGCACATAACCTTTCTTTTATTGTCACAAAATTCAACCTCAGGAAATTATCTTCTCCATTGCAGGTGCTGATTTTTTTTTGCCACCCAGTCAGGCCCTCCTCTCTCACATTCTTTCTTCTCCCATTTGCTCCTCCCCACACACAAAAACCTTTTGTGAATAATGACTGATATGCCTGCACACCATATATTTGGGGTGTTACCCCCACTCAGGACTCTTTTCATATGGAGTCCACCTAAATTAGCATTTCAACTTTTAAAACAATGTCTATAAATAGTCTGAGGACTATAGCAATTTTATGAGATGACATCCTTTTCCTGTTCACTTATTTTAAAAAAAAATCACACAACCATGTAAATGCTCCTGTTCAATGCGTTTCTCAGTGTGTGTTTAACAGGCAGCCCCTTCTGGAAGTTGTCCTTAGCAGGACCATTTTCATATGCTTTTCCTAATATCCCTCCATATTTCTCACCATTGTTAACTCTGTGGGACTGTCTCACTTAAATAGTCTAACTGTGAGTTGAGCCCTCATCTAATAATTAAGAGGTTTTGGTGTGTTTTGTTTTGTTTTCCATTGCTGTGTATGGAACCCAGGAGTTGATTTATGCCATGCAAGCATTCCACCGCTGTGTCACATCACCAGCAATATTAAAACCTGGAGAAGCAGTGGTCTGAGGAAATGAGTTGTGTGTTTAAGACCCTGCATTGCAGACATTTATAAAGTTCAGGTTTCCCAGATCCGTGGCTGGAGAGAATGAAGCCAGGGACCAACACATCACAGCTGCACCCAGTTTGGTCCAACACCTGAATCAGGGATCCCTCCATGACTCCAGCCCTCTCCACACAGACATAGACACAGCTGCAGGCTGGGGCTGCCTGAGACCTGCCCCTAGGCTGGGAGGTCACCATGAAGAGACAGGACTCTGGGGACTCAAAGCTGCCCAGCCTCAGCTAGAGCAGGAGGGACAGAGGGTGATGAAGCACTGAAGACTATGAGGCCCTCGGACTCTGGAATTGCACGGAGAGGCTCCAATGCCGCCATATCTGGTTCCAGCCACTTACATCCAGACCTCACAACCATCCCATCTCATCTCAGTGCACTCATCCCACACCGTTACCATTGCGTGGCTTCGGGGTCCTCCAGGGTCCTTCCCACGCAGCTGGAAGATGATAGTCATAAAGTAAAACGGTCTAGCCAGCTAGAGCAGATCTCTGCAATGTGCTCAGGATCAAAACTTTAACGCCATGACACAGGAAGAGCCTGTCTGCCTCCGCCCACCTGATTGGACAGTTTATACCACCCGCCCCTTCATCACCGATTGGCTCCTGCTCCACTGCCCGCCCTCTGAGCCGAGAGTGACCACAAAAACAAATCTCTTCCTGCCTGGGTGGATCGCAAATGATAGCTTTTAACTCTTGAGACTTTAGACCGTGGATTTTCCCAGGATGGGTGCCTAACCTAGCCTGAGGGATAATCGCTTTTAAATAGACTGTGCTCCTGGCTTTTTTGTGCGGCGCTTCTTACTGGATTCAGTAGGCTCTTGGCTGAGTATTGCCCCTGAAACTGTGGTTACAAGTGTGCTCAGACATCTAAGTCAACATCCCTTGACATCAGAGAATCATGGGTTCAGGCCGGGTCAGGATGCAATGGAGTAGAGGGAGTACCTGATTTTGTGATTGGTGAAAATGAGGAACGAGATAGGGGGGCTTCCTGGCCAAGACATTCTCTCACTGTATTCATATTCAGTCAAAAAAATGAATATGTGCCCAAAAGAGGAATACAATTATTGAATAAATAAACTAAATTTAAATAATAGCAATGTTCTGCAACAGAGTCAAGATGAAAAAAAAGCAAACATTTTAATTGCATCTGACAAGTAGCCTACTTCAGGGTCACAAAGAAAAGCTGATTTCTGAAAATAAGCGTATTCTTTGTGTGAAGGCAAGGATAATTGCGAATGGGGAGCGGGTGGGGGAGGGAAAGGGGCGGGGCGGCGTAGGTAACTACCGGGCCCTATGTTACCCCACCTTCTCCCCAGGCAGTCTCCCCACCCCTGCGCTGTGCGGGCAGCTCCTGAAAAGCCTGTGACGGAAGAAGAAATGTCCGGAGTGGCAGCGGTGGTGGCCCAGGCGATAATTCACAACGGCAACAGCACAGAATCAGCGGAGCAGCCCAGGATACTCAGCTGTCACCTTCACCGTCACCGTGGCCCTGCGGGCTGCTACCTGAAGCGAGGCAGGGCCGCCATCGCAGGGCGATAACAAGGAGGAGACGACCGCCACCGCAGGATCCCCTGCCACCGCCGCCACAGCCGCCCCCACTAGGGGGCGACAGGTAGTCGATCTGCACTTAAATATCCCATTTTCCTTTTTTCCTTCCCTTAAATTTATATTTATCCAATATATTTAGTTGAGAGATGTATGTTTTTATTACGCTGTTTTTCTTTTCTTTTTAAATTATTGTTTATATTTTCGATTTTAAAATGTACAAAATAAAGTTACATTGCTGGTCTTGTGAACACTATACAATTATCTGAAGTGTATACCTATACCTGCAGCAGTTCACCTATTTCAATAATTTAGAATTCTATTCCTTTGTTGTCTTTAAGACCACCTCGAATTTAAAGGCTGCTACCTTATTTTACATTTAAAGTGTATTGTAACAGTGTGGTAGTTAGTACAGCATTGGGTTTTGTTTTTTGAAAAAAATATAATTGTTAAAATGCAGCCCTACCCTCAATATACATTTCTTGGCCAAAAGGCAATGACAACTAAAGACTTCAGAGTATAAGGTCTCCCTGACCTGCAGTTCCCTCTTCACTGGTTGAAACTACATGTTTCAGCATATTAATACTCAGTAGAAGGAAAATATTATCTGGAGTTTTTTGATACTCATTGTTGTTACTTGACCTTGAGAGATGTGCAGGATATTAATAAAGCATTTTTCCCCTTGTGTCTGGCCGGGTCATGGAGTGTGACCATATGTAAGACCCCTGCCTTTTCCTCCCAGGCTTTTACTCTGCTCTCTTTCCTTGCTCCCACAAGGTGGCTAACATTTTTTCTTCATTTACTCCATCATTTCTGAATTAGAGATAGTTGGCCACAGACTGAAATCTCTGAAACCATGGACAGAAATAAATCTTTTATCATTACAGTCTCTGTGTCAGGTATTTTGTCCCAGGAACAGAGAAAGTAATACAATTCATGTTAGGCATCTGAACTAAATAAACTTCCATATGCATCAACCCATTCTTCTGAAATCTATATAAAGGACTTTATGACTGGTCTTTACAGTACTCCTTCATACATATATATTTCATTCTGACTCCTCCAAGTTTTTGCATATATGAACCACTTGCCATAAAAACAGCCTCTGGAAACCAGTAAGAACCTCAATGAGGACAAATTCCTCAAAACTATGTGTACAGGAGTCACCTATTTTCTCTTGCTTTGTGATTTTTCCCTATCAACACTCTTTTTAGAGCTGCTCTTGGAAAGTGGAGGCCACAATCCAGAGAGGTATGCAGTCCAGGAAGCACCAAGAGGATCTTCATGGCTGTCTAAGTTACTTTTCTCCTTGCTAAGACAAAATACCCAACACCCAAAGTTAAACAAGGAAAAGTTTATTTAGCTCACAGTTTGTAAAAATTTCAGTCTATAATCGGCTCACTCCAAGGTGGGGCGGCATGGCAGACAGCCATCGAGAAGAGAAACAGTTCATGGTGGACAAAAGGTAGCAGAACAAGCAAGGGGTGACCACAGCTCTTTCTATCCCTTATATCTTATCCAGGCTGCTTAGGGCTGGTAGCACCCTTAATCGAAGTAGCCCTGAGCCTAGCATTGCATCATGAATCAGTTCTAGCATCACACACTCTAGATCCAGCCACCTCTGAAAAAACCCCACCTATGACTTCATGATGCTTTGATGGGACATCTAGACATAAGCCATAACATATGTTTTACTAGATATTTAAGTTACTAGTGCCTTGATGTTGGATTTCTTAGCCTTCACAACTATGAGAAATAATTGTTTCATAAAATGAATAATTGTATGTATTTTATTTAGGGTACAATGTACAATGTACTAATGTACTAATACAATGTACTAAGACAGAGGCTATAAATATTTGTTGGTGTATGGTATACCAGTGGCTACGGTTAGACTCAGCAAAAACTTATATTTCCATTCATGCACTCAATTGTAATGATTTAGCTGTTCTGGTATACATGTGTACCATTTTTTTCTCCACCACAAAATCATATAATCACTTGCATGGATAATCAAAGGAAGTTAATGTTGGGCCAGGGATTTAGCTCAGTGGTTTCAGTGCCTGCTGCTCAAGCACAAGGACCCGAGTTCAATCCCCGGTACCAAAAAAAAAAAAAGGAAGTTAATGCAATGGAAACTTCAAGCTATCTTTCTATGCTTACTTATGAAGTAGAAAAAAACAATTCTAGGATACTGTATATGGATTTAAATCTTGCAGGTAATTATTTTTTGCTAGAAAACACAGATTCCAGGAAACTTATTTTCATATGACAAAAAGTGTATAAAACAGTCACATGCTAATTTTCCATCATTTCCAGTGTGTTAATGGTTCTCTCACCACTGCAGTTGAATGCTGTCTTAAGCTGCTCTGCACCTGGGGATTTACATATTTTGTTTACATTTTGAAAATTATCTCTTGATTTCCTCAACACCATCTAATTATGTCTATAGTCAAATCCTAAGCATCTTGTTAGTCCCTCTCCCTTTCAAAAAGTGCAACTGCTGTAAGTTTCAATCTTCTAGAGGCTCAATTACATCCCTCTATTTTAATTATCCACCGGAAAGTCTGTTACAGTGAATATGGTGATATTTCATGTGAATTCTAGGAAAAATTTTACTGTTGCTATTCTGCATGGCCTGTCACACTACAGGAAGTATGAGAACATTGCATTATTCGGTCATAGATCAGGAATTCTGATGCAAGAAGTCTTGAAAACCCTTAAGTAAAAATTCTATACTTGTATCATAATAAGATCATTAGTGGCTGGGAAACTGTTTAAAGCTTCTTGACAGGAAAAGGTTTTAAATTGAAAGGGACTAAGGAATAATTAAAAGGACCTTCTGAAAATTATTTTTATTTGTAACTAGTAAGTAGGTTGAAAAATTAAGCCCCACCAACTGGACCGGAAAGGAGAAAACAGGTTGAGATTCAGGTGATAATCACAACCAAAAAAGATGAATCATTCCTGTCAATCAGTCAATATAATTGGAAATTATTTACTTGTAACAGAGGCTATCTTATTCATTTTATTACATTTAGTATCATAGAAAATTATTTACTTGTAATGGAGGCTATCTTTTATTCATTTTATAACATTTAGTATCATACTTGGCCTAAACCCACAAGATACCAGTAAAATCCATTCCCCCTCTATGACATAAGAAAAAAAAAATCTCCAGATAAATCCACATGTTTCTTGAGGGCCAGAATTACTACTAGTTGAAATCCATTGACTTAGCAGCTACATAAGGCACCTGGGCTGCCTGAAAGACAAGATACCAAAAAATGGGTAAAAAGTGCCAGGGAGCTTCTCAACCTGGAGGATTTCTCCATTTCTCCACCTTTACACCCCAAACCAAGATGGCTGTTTCTTTCCAAATTACTTTAAGTCTTCTATTGCAGCTCCAATCTTCTTGTCCCAATGCAAATGGGTTGCATTATGTAATGTGGCTAGTGTAAGAAGGCCAAAGTTATTCCTTGCCTTGATGCTGTCAGGTGATAAACACAACATGGAAGTTCAGGTAGATTAAAGGGAGTTTTAAACTGATACTGTGTGCTTTATCTTTGCTGTGCAATTTTCTAAAGGCCATTCCCTTGGTCTCCAGAAAGCCAACCTGAAAGAATGTTGTGAATCCAGTGGGATTCAGTGTCTCCAACCCCTTTTTGAGCACATAACAAACTTTTACAAACTCTTTTTGCCCCAAAAGAGCATGGTTCCTGCAGAGGTTGAGCATCTCCCAGGCTTGGTGAAGACAGGGCTAGACTGAGACACCTTCAGGCCCTTGACATTCAGGCAGCGGCAGGTGGGGGCAGGAGCTGAGGGGCAAGTAGTGTGAAGTTATGGTTTTGCCCTGAGATAAATATACCTAGATTTCCCAGGAAGGAAAAGAGGAAGAGTGATTCCTCTTGAGCAATGTGGATGCTTCCTGTCTTGTGGCAAGTTGGTCAGTCATGTATCTCTGCTAATCAAATTCTGTCCAGTCTCTTCTCTGTTTCAGTGAAAA